TCCTAAGTAGTTAAATCAATTCATTAGCCTAAATATAGTTAATATAAATATATTAAGAATATATTTCCGGAGTTTTAATCAAGTTATCAATATTTAATTTAAAATTGCTACGTCTTTAGTAATTATAATACAAATTTTGCTGATAATATGCCAAATTATTTCACCTTCAATTTAATTCATGATATTGACTAATGAGGCAAAATATATTACGATTGTTAGCGATATTTCAAACTTCACGAACAAAACAACGTTTCATATGTATCAACTTAATAGGACTATTGCAATTTTCTGTTTGCGCTTTTTCCCGAGATAGCAAGTGAATGTGTCTTTACATGTAAGTTAGAAGTATAACAAAGGAATAACACCGACAGTTTTTTGTTTCTTTTTTAAATTTCTATTTATTTTTACGTATTTTAAGCTAATTGTAGGACAGGATATTTATAACTGCTTTGCAATTCTAATGGAAGTTTCTGGCTATCGCAATTCATGTACAAAAGCCACTTAAACTCTTTACCTGTATCGCGGAAACCGATACAACATTTTTTGTTCCCGAACCCGCAAAGACAGTCAGCTTACGATGAAATTCTTGATCGTTCAAACGCGATCAATTACGAAATCAGGATTCTAAAAAGGAGAGATCGTTTTCTAAATTGGCTACGTTAATCCATACTTGCGTTCATTTAAAGACAAATAAGTAAGAGAAGAATGTAGATAATTGTTTTTTTGCATCGGTAACAAGTGAACGACGTAAGAACAAAGTAGAGATTTGAATTGAGGCACAGATTAGAATTATTTCCCGTGTAAATTCATGACTGATGATCGATGTTCTCAGGGGGTATCCTTGAAATTAATATGCGACACCATCTTCGGCGACGATCATGGTCCCGAGCGTACACGTAATTTGTTAATCGTCAGGTTATCTTGTTAATTACCCGATAACGAGATGATACCGGTACGGCCCGGCTGAATGAGATTCCGTTATCGCGACGGGGCTCGTTTCGGTTTATCGGTAACGGCTAAATGGTAATTTGCTATTTATTTTCCGAGAGAGGAAAGTCAAGTACTAATGCGAGTTATCGCAGGCGGCACCGGCTACTTTGCATATCGACCAACTTATTGTTAGAAACGACTTGGACGGACCTCGCGATTTCCCCGCTCCTCCAAATCGGATCCAAGCAATTTCCCATTCTACACTTCGACTTCGATAAGCTGATTAAAAGATCTGTATTTGATTTCGCACACATTCAATAAACCGTGTACCTGAGACTACTTAATTTTCTCATATGTTGCGCACGTATATCATCAGAATTTGTAGAGGATGGATTTCTTCTAAATCTATTCTACGTTATGTAATAGTACTTTCAGACCATTCTTGTACAAGTGAGCCATGAAGTCTGATCACAACGGACTATACAAGAAAATATTGGTATAGGTTTCACGTTTGCTAATCACGGTTCTGGCTTGTACATGTGCCAATGGGCGCGTAATTACAGCATGATCCGACCGAGAGTGGGGCACGTCGATCACGGGTTTAAAGAAAGACCGACGCGACGCGAGGAGCCTCGTTTCGTGTAACATTTAATTGGAACAGTCGGAAACGAGTATTAATTTACCATGGATACGTGTCGGCAATAACGACGTTGATACAGTTTTTGTCGCGGACCTCGGCGCGGGGGAGCCAGGGAACTAATTTCAACTTAATCGTCGTCTTATCGCAATTTACCGGGCCTATAAGTGAGCCTTAATTGACCCGATTGCTCTACAAGGACTGGTCCCGTCCGTTAGTGGTGGAAGCAAAACAAAAGCCGCGCTTCGAACCGGGGACAAAAAAACCGAGTTCCATCGAACCTCGGAACTGCCTCAAACCGAAGCCTGTGTGCCTGGCTGGGCTCTCTTTCTCCGGCCGCGGCCGTAAGGAATGTCGAACGCCACCAGCTTCCTAGAACAACGTTCTGTCTCTGTGATTCGCGATCTCTTCCACCGATCGCGAGCGAAAAATGTTTACCGCGAATACCGAAACCCGATCCTGATCTTGAATTCCTGACAAGGATTCAATGAGCTTATTTCTATCCTACCTATTTATGTCGCATGTTTGTACATACAATCGCAATCCCTGATAGAGTATAATCGATACAAACAAGTGCTTTTACATCGTCCCCTGTGTTGATTCATATTCAACAAGTACAGCCACTGAATCGTTCAGGTCAATTTTATTTATATCATATACATTTTCTTTGTACATTATGTACAATTTGCTACATAATATTTTAAACTTGATATTATTGATGTCATATTAACAATTAAAATTATCTAATCATTAATCATACTCAAATCAGTGGTTAGGTAAGTAAGCTTGTTGATACTGTCATCAAAGATAGGTAAATGATATCTCCAGTAAACAGTTTTAATAAATTTATTGTCTGCGATAATTGCGTTATAGTAATCAAATAGTGATATTAAATTGAATAAAAATTAAACAGATGTAGTCTTCGCATTTCGATAAAGTTTATTGAAATACTGCGTTTATGTTAAGTTCGTACATATGGCATACTTTTTTTAAATACAATAGATGTTAGAAGTATCATATGATTCAAATGATTTATTAGGCACTTTCAGCTTTTTTTTCTTTTTTACTTCAAGCTAATGTTTCTATTATCTCGTTAGAATATCTTCCAATAAAATTGCAATGTCTGTACCATACAGCCTGTTGATTATGTCAATTTGTTTAATTTTCAATGTGATCCATGTTAATCGACGATGAAATAAAATATGCGACGATTTTCATCAAAAATTCAATCTTGAAGAAGAAAATTATACATTTAACTTAATCTAATAGTTATAAAAGCTCAGCTCGTCAAAACGTAAAATAATCATAGACATAAGAGAATAGACCGTCGAATGTATTTTTATTAACCTCAGGAAAGATAGAGAAAATATGCTTCAAATGAGTTTCTCTCTATCTCTATATGTATTTCTTTCTCTCTCTCATGGCAATAAAAGAAAAAGAAACTCTTCCGTTTTTTTTCTTCTCTCAATCGCCTGGTCTGAAATCTCCTATCTCGTTTATTATTTTATATTATTTTCATATCCCTACGAATGTAAGTAATAATCCGCTGAAACTGTAGAGATCACTAATACATTGTTTACTCACTTAGCGATGACTCAGAATCCTCGACCACGGGAACTTCCGCCTCCTCGACGTCGACCAAGCTTCGGATGCTGAAGACGCTTTTTGCGACCCGCGTCTTCTGCAAATCGGACACACCGTCCGTCGCTCTTCTCGGGGTCGTGCTAAGGTCCATCGTTGTTACCCACGATGTCGTGCCAAAGCGAAAAGGGACCGGGGACTACCCTTCGCAGTCTCACAGCGCGCACCGTCGGTATCGCACTGTCCTCTTGCTCTCTCGCATCGCACAACGTGTGTTCGATTACTATCTCTATTCGCACTCTATCCTTGTCAACTCGATTTCTCTGCTCATCCAACGAATGAGATTTGTCCTTGTCTTTGCTCTAAAACTCGTCGCAGCACTATCGAGGGAGTCACTCGATGTTTTCGTCCGGAACCAGAGTTCGATTCGCATTTGCTCTCTTTACTGGGCTAATTAAGCCGTTAATGACTTACATTCATTTTTATCGCGGAGGCTCGACGTTTCGTCCGCTACACTTCGTTTGTCGGATAAAAAGATTACGCTCCTTTCTCGTGTGTTACTTTGAAAATCGTCGCCGAGCGATAACAGCCGTAGCACATCTTATCGTCTCCTCAATGAGATTCCAGATTCTTATCGATCGAACAATCACCGGAAATTCGCTGTTAGCTCCTCGATTTAAACATAGATCGTTTAGATTTAGCCAATTTGTGTTATCTCATACAGAGTATAAACGTTACGTGGTTTCGCGCAAACGTATGAGATTAATTAACGGCACGTAGAGATCGTTGGGAGTCGAGTTAGTTCGACGTTGGTCGGACCCGTCAGTAAATAAGAACGTGTGATCGGTACGGGTGTTAACAGCGACGCGTATCATTGCACACTGAAAATCGACGGAGTGTAAAGTAAACGTAAGTACGCGGTTCGTTCTCACCAATATTATATACAAATGTTACGCTCAACCGTTACCTGGAAATATCAATGAACCTCTCGCTCTATTCACTAGCGCTATCGACCCATTTATTTTGCCGTGTTTACGTGACAGAATTCCTCCTTGTTCGTCATTAGTTCTGTTATTTCTTACACGAAGCTTGCTGTTAACAATTTGGTCGTTCATTCGACATCCGTCTTTCTTTTATGATTAACTTTATAATTGCTGCACTATTTCTTCGTGATCTTTGAATCGAGACTTCCTGCGATCACGATTATGATAGATAATCCTGTTTCCTTCTGACTCATATCATTATCGAACTCTCGTCTGATTCGTATCATCGAACTCGCTACGATAAGTGTTCGTAATTAATTTAACTGAAGATCTTCACGTGTAAACTTGTCACTTTCTGGTACCACAAAAGAGGAGAAGACTGTGAACCAACGATGAATGATTCAAATTCCAGAATTAGATTTAAAAATCTTGGAATTAAGACTTTAATCGTCACATTCTCACGTCCTATGAATAGAAGATCGAATAGCGTTTGATCGATTCACAATCGGTCATTGTATTGATCAGAGAAAAGTGGATCGAATTTTCACGAGTGTTTTTTTTTTTATTCGAGCCTCACGGAAGATCACATTGTCTCATCTCGCAGCCCAAGAAGAGGGAATTGTGTTTGTTCAAGGATATCGGCACTGTTTAATCAGCCAGGAGTTTGACAGTTGTCGGAGGGTCGGACGAACAAGTAAAGTAGCCAGCCACGCGACGTGACGGAACGGACCGGACCCCGGACGCGGACGCGCGAAGCGGAAGCCGGGCGAGCAGCGAGCAGCGAGGCGAGCGAGCACAATACGCGTATCGCGAACTCCTGTTCGGCAATGTTCGCGTCCGAGTTCCCTCCACCACGAGAAGGTCGATCGTACCCCAAGGTGGTACTCACCTGGGTAGAGGGGAAGTTATAACAGAAACACCGCCCTACGCGAACAAAATGGAGTTTTCTCGTGGTACCAACTCCGCCTACCGTGGTCCACCCACGTCGTTTTCATCCCACGCGGTTTTACGTACACCTGTATACACACTGATGACTCAAGGGATTCCAGACCGACACGCATACACACATAGAGAATACGTGGTTCCAACTAATAGCGGCGACCCATGGAAAGCATTAGAGATAGTGAGAAAAGACGTGCCACATTCTCTATGCATGCGTGCGAAGTAGGTCCGGAGTCTCTTGGGTTGAATAGAGGGTAAGTGATTTTTTAATATTAAATAAACCTCAATTTATTTTATACAAAAAATGAACTTCAATCAATTACTTATTTTCCATTTTGCCATCTTTCTGGCAACTTCATGATCACGCTCATAGAACTTTTGAACCTTATCAGTAAAAAACTGAGTCAAGTGTGACTTGAGGTCATCATCGTTGGTGGAAGTTTTACCATTCAAAGAGTAATTCGTAAATTTCGAAATAAATGGTAATCTGATAGTGCAAAATTAGAGGTATACTATACACGGTGGATGTGACATCACTTTCCAACCAAACTCTAATAATTTTTCACGAGTGACCAAATACACGTGTGTGGTCTAACGTTATGATGATCAAACACGATTGCTTTATAATTTGTCAATTTTGTTCGTTTTTCTTTCATTCCTTTCACCAACTTCGTTAATCGACAATAAACATCTAAGTTAATTGTTTGGTTCCTTGCAAGCAGCTCAAAATACATAATACCTTTGTAATCCCATCAAATTGATAGCGTGATCTTTTTTTGATGCAATTCAGTTTTTGATGTCGTTTGTGCTGCTTTACTGCACTTGAACCATGATCGTTTTCAATTCATATTACTGCACACAACCTATTTTTCATCACCAGTGATGGTTCGTTTAAAAAAAGGATAAATCTCGCAGCGTTTCAGATATAGTATATCGTTAATAGTGATTCGTTTCGTAAAGTGAATCTCTTTTAATACACGCGAAATCCAAAGATCGACGTTCTAAACGAGTCCAAGACGTTTTAAGAGATTATAAATTCTTATGTATGATATATTTGAGCTCTCTGCAATTTTCTACAGTTATATGACAATTCGATTCAATTATGGCTTGTAATAAAAGAAGAAATTACTATATGTATAGTTTCTTTACTATATCAATAAAGTATATTGTTATTAATTTCGAATGGAAACTTCATTAAGAAGTCGTCATGATTCTGCCATTTGCATTCTACATGACATCGTTTATTCTTAATGTGAACGTAAAATTAAATGAAGATGACGAAATCCTGGAGATACGATACACTTATCAAGTTTTGGTGATAAGGAGATTGGGATCGGGTTTATTAGAAAATAGAAACAGAGATATACATGTACATGTAGATTTTTTCCGTTTATTTTATACACTGTATCCGTTAATCTTTAAATAATATATTAAGTGCGATGGTATTTAGGTATCGTTCGAGCTGGCGAAACGTTCGAAACGAAATCATCAACTCTATTATTTATATTTATCGCTAACAATTAGTATAGCGCGGTGGGCAGAAACACATTTCCCTGAAAACAGATTAACGAAGATCGGATAATCTGTGATCTGTCGTACGTCGAATACAGTGACGTTAAGGGTCGAGTCGATCGAAACTTTTGAAAAGATCGACCGAATCGTTTTGATAGTCAAATTCTTCAAGAAAACGTGAAATTTTTTTCAGTTTTTTGTCGACTAATCGCTCAAATACCTACAATCGAGAAGTGCTTAGCAAACCAGATAAACGTGAAAATGAAACGATCAGAAAGAAATATAGAAAAAGGCGGAGGGATTTAAAGGTATTTGGAAGAAGGAGAATGGAAAAAAATGTATCGGAAAAGCTTCGAGATTCGGCTAGCGTTGCTTTTTCTTTGAGATAAAGTCAACGTTCGCCTAAAAAGTTTCATCTACACAGTAAAAAAAAAAACGAAATACAATGGTACAATTATTGTTCACAATAATCGCGAACGTTGCCGTCGATGCGTTTCCAAAACGCGTTGGAACGTTCTCAACCGGACAGTATTATCGATCACGACACATGAGATCCTTCGTATTCCTTTCTTTATACACAATCACTCTTAAATGAAACGAATCGAGAATAGACGAAAAATGATTATTTACTAAACAAATCGTCGCGTGACGACAATATAAGAAAATTACAGCTAACAATAATTGTGCTTAGCACCTAAATAGGATAATCATTTCCAGTAATTAATCTCAAAATCGTGGTAGTAATTTATGAACATGATTGCGACGTTTAATACAAATAGATCAATGTCGTGTACGCGTCGAAACTAAGAATAAGTCGATTCAGTTCTCTATAAAAAAAAAGAATGGCAGTTTTATACCTCCTTAGAGACTTCCAATTTAGCTATTCATCTTCTCATCTATAACACCTTCTGTAGATTATTAATCGTTTTTCGAGACTAAAATTTCAACTGCGACAGAGAAATCGGTATAGACAGTTCAAAAACGAGTCCGTGCATTATACTTCCTATACATACAATACCTAACTATATCCTTTTCGCCAATTGCTTCGTTAAACATTACGTTAATCCTATTATTTTCAATTATATTAAATGAACATTTTTGAACCATATCTAAAAATATCGGTGGTGTAATCTAGGAAGGCTTTGACTCACACTTAATTGGAGTCCAATTATCGTAGATGAAACGAACGAAAATGTTGTTAGACAAACTCGTTGATTACATCTCGAATTATTTTATCATTTGTTCCATTTCACGATACCGAAATACCTCATTAACGACCAGCTATTAAGAAAGCACGGATAACTGCAGATTTCGTTAATAGATATAGGAGACTTTTTGTTAAGATTGACCAATAGAACAACGAAAAAAGTTCGGCTTAGAACACTTGTTTAAAAACACCTATCTTGTTCAAGATAATGCTTAGACTAATAACTGGACTGCGGATCTCACACACTACATTCGATGAGGACGTAGTCTGCAATGGAGAGCGGGACTGATGGAACCTAAGGAGTTCCGAGACGGTGACGGCGACCCGAACGACCCCTCGGCCTCCTTCCAAAACGTCGCTAGCGCAGCACACGAGATTCTGAAAAACCAGTAAACAAAATTTGCGCGTTCTCTATTAATCAGAGTATATATGAAAAGTAATAAACTGACAATACTTATACAATGAGAATAATGTTTCTATCTGAGGACCAGCCTACTGTCTATATTTAATTATTATTATTGAAAATTGAGTCGTGTGGGACATTTTATAATTCTTCTTTTCAATACTGCGAATTTTCATGTTAAATCAAATTATGATCAGACTTTGGATTGAAATATCTTTTATCATTTAAATATTGCAATACACATAGTAAAATAGTTTTTTATATTCTAATATTATATTAGGTATAGTGTTTATGTCACAAGTGCATAAACTCTACAGTCTACTGATAATTTGAAATTTCATGAGGTTTTTTAGTTACATAAAATTATAATTTCTATGATCAAGTGATGAAATGAATTTAAAAGCAAATTAGAGGAATTATCAAAAATAAAGATACTGTTTTAAGCAAATACATGAATTTGTATAAATGGCCACTCTAATTTAGGATAAAGTACGGGTGACGACCGCTCGTTACATCGTTTTTGTACCAAAAAGAATATTTTATTATCAGTGGAAATAGAATTATTACAATCGTTTATGATAGTCGTACAATCGATGTTACAAACTTTTACGTCTCTGTAAAATCGTATCGTTCCCAACGATTGTTCTCCGAATCACGGAACACGGTTTCGTTCATTATATCACACGCCGTATAAATTAAGTAATAATAAAATGGGAATCGAGGCAAGAATGTAGGCAGTGTCGATTTCGGAATCGATCAAATCGACCTGGCAGTGTAATTAGTTTATCGTGCGTTCTGCGATATAAAAACTATGCATGGGATCATTGCAAAGCTAGACGTTTTCACGTCTACAGAAGAACTCCATTTATCCATTGATTAAAAGTTCTCATTAACTAATGCTTCTAAAACCGCCAAAAAGTTTTGGCTCTTCCCTTTAATGAACACATATGTGTAACTTGTTATTCAAATAAAAGATTATTGAGGTTTCTTTGCATGATTTTGGTTTTCGGTTTACCAAATCATAAGTGATAAATAAATGGAGTTATGTTGTAATGTACACAGCGATTCAGATTCGATCGTACAAAAATGGAAACAGATAAAGATAAGGCGATCGTATTCAGCTTATTAATTATTGCCGTTTTAGCAAAAAAAAATAAACAATAAATTCGTATTCGAATTTGATTTAAACACGATCGTTCGAAGGAACATGAATTTAATAGTAAATAAAATAATCCTCCCTTGCTCAAGATAATCAGAGAAAGAAGCACAAGCCTAAAAAATCAACAAGATAAAAAATAAACGCAGCACCGAATTCGAAAATCGAAATTCATTTACGCTCGTTCCTGCAACGAGAGTTTTTGTAGCTTAAGTACAATCTGAGACAAAAGAAACAACCAAAGAGAAAAGTAGCTTCTCAACGTATCCGACCTCATACAGTACAGTATGATGTACCTATACAAATATAATAATATAATATAATCTATCTATATATAATATATATATGTATATATACGCTTTGTTTCTCTCTGTTCTTTACAAAAATTATACAAGTATACAAGCTAATGCAACGGAATGATCTCGAGTATGTTCGGTCTGTTTCATTTTTTGTCCGCGCATCTGTTTTTTTATTTTCATCCTTCAGCGAGTAAATTTAATAAAACGAGCCTCTATCTGCGGAAGCGACAGCTCCGTAATCATAGGGTAAGTTAAAAAAGAAAAACATGCGTTACAGCGTAAAATGGACTAACGGTAAAACTAAAAGTGAGAGATAAGAAACAGTCTTACGGTTGCGATTCTTAATTCGATGCAATTACATATAAGTACCTCGCCCGAACGTGATAAAGAAATAATACTGATACGATTGTCGCCATTAGTCGACGACCGGAAGCGAATAGGAAGAAACGGGAGGAACAAAAACAGACGATTATGCTTTAATTAAGTCACCAGTGTAATAAAAATATACGAGTCGAACTGACTAGAACCGAGGATTATTCAACTTAACCGATTAGATAAGTAGATTGTTAATACCGAGGACTAGAAAACGTAATGAGGCTTAACCCTTTGTGAACGAAAGTACATGCACAACGCGTATTAATCAATAATTTAACATAAATAAAATCAATTTTCTTTTAAACTGTTGCATCTTTCATCAGGACTCTATAAAATGGAATTGATTTTTTTAGTTCTCGAGTTAACATACGCAAAGGATTAAGCAATAAACAACCTGGAAGATGTAAACGTTGCAGTCCTTTATAGTGAATTGAATATTATTGGCATAGTTACCAATAACTCGAGAAGCATGTAACAGTACAGAAGTTTTTCTGTGGAAAGTATCAATGCTAAAAGAAAACAGATCCTACTTTAGTTATAGATTGTAAGTCGTATATAACAGAATCAACATGGATCCTTTTGGCAAAAATTCCTTTGTGCGTTTTGAACGTGTGTTAAACATGTCCGAAGCCCAATCCGTATGATAGATTGGAGCTACGAATAGATTTAATGCACGTGAGAGCTAAAGTAAATTTGCGATATGAAAGCATCTCGGAGAAACAGAGCCGCGACGGCAAGTTCGTCTGCCTGACCAGTTTGGCACCTACACTACTGTGAAACAACTTTGCGCGTGAAGTAACAACCGGAAGAGCGAAAAAATGTCTGCGGATCTATCTGATTCAATGCGAGCGACCCGTTCCTCCTCCTTAAGTACATATACAATATGAACCTTATCGTACGAATATTATACGTTAGAATAAGTTAGACGCGTGCATATTCTAAACGATTCCACATTCCCGCCCATAATTCATCAGACATTCGACAAACTGAAATTGAGATTGAAACTGGCAAGATAAGATTTGATTCACTTATTTATACAGGAATTAATAAAAACTTGTATACGTGTATCACAGAGAATATTAAATTATGGTATTATTTTTTACGGTCTCGCCTTACGTGTATATGAAAAGTTGAATTTAATGAACGAGTTCGATCAAGTGTCTAATGAATTACAGACAGAAAATTCGTCTATGTACTTCTCTCGCTATACGCATTTATATGAAAATATGGAGATTATCTTAGGCTACGACCGAATTTGCTTAATCGGTGAAGTGTAAGTGCTCTCGTTTCTACCTTTTTTCATTCCTCCCCAAACGAAAGTTTCGAGTGCTTGAGAGATAGAGAAAGAAAATTTGTCGGAGAGGGACGCAATACTGTTGATGACGTTCAATAAACGATGAGAAAAATAAAATAGAATAAAAAGTTCTTTTTCACGTAATGCGTCGTAAACCTACGTGTACCAAAATAGGAAATCTTCGAACTTAAAAATGAGATTTCTAGCACCTTGTTGCTAATCCTGTAGTACTCGAAGGCTACCTATCACAGACCCATCAATCCTGAAAGAGCTGTAGGCGATTTGTATTTGGTCGAATGTTAAAAAAATAACACCTTAGATCATTTCTTCGTTTTTCTTCATCGTCTCGATAATTTCGAGACATGTTACACACGCTCGATGATGTCGCAATACCAGTTAATAATCTGCTTTTCCCTTGATTCCTAATATCGAGAAAAATTTTTTAACACCTGAAGCTATATCTTTCGGTTTTCATGATTCTGCTTAGCGTCTTTTATCGAGATGCGTGATCTAAATCCAAGACTATTAGATATGAGACTTCAGAGAGTTTCTTGAACAAGTATTCGACACACCGATTCATCAATTTGACCACTATCCCTTCAATACTCTCACACAACAAAATACTATGTTTTCGACAGATCCTGCCCGACGATTCTCAATTTTTCAAGATACCGGTACCCATAGGCGAATTTGATATGCGAGCGTCGACTTAGGCTTTGATTACGCTCTTTGATTTCACGTTCTCATTTTACCCAATTAAACGAATATTTAACGGCGAGAACTGGTGTCCTCGTCAAAGGCCTTAATGCATTAGAACGAAAAACGTTTAACCTACGCACTACTGAATAGCGATTACTATAAACTATGCGATCTAAATATACGATCAAGCTGCCTCCATAATTTTTAGAAACTATCGAATACCTACGTACTTGTTTCAAGCGTTTTGCTCGAGCCACAACCAAAGAAATGGACAACCCTGTCACACGTAGTATAAAAACCAAAACGAATATATATGTACAAAGCAAAGCGCTCGGCTGCCTTTTAGATAGAACAACAATTTCGACAAATTTACTAACAATTTGTAAACAAAACAACAAAGTAAAAACTGGAACCCTAACCAGAAGAATGAGACACTTTTTGTCAACGATACGTAAATTCAACGCAGTTTTCTTGACAATAGTATCATGCTTGAAATAAACTCGCAGTTCGGTACCGGAAGGGGTACGATTCTGCGCGACACTAGACCCCGTTCCTTTGCCCGGCAAAGCGAACGAGATACAAAGTAAAAGCAAAATAAGTAGAAAAACACCGTGCCGCTCTAGGAATGCTAATTATAATATAAGTGGCGCCTGATGGATTTAAACAGAGTGCCGTGCAGCGGTTCGATCGACAGCGACTCGGTAAACGAATTGGATACTTCATCATATCAACATGATTCCGAGGAATGTCTTCGAAGAAAAGCCCAAATAAGTAATAAATAAGCAGTACAAAATCTCATATTGGGGGTCACTATTATTGCGAATAGATTGGAAATTTTCGTTTTCCGAGCCGCCTCGCGTCCCGAAAAGATACGTTGAAGTCACGCATAATCCCAAAGTAATCTTCGACCGTGCGTTAATATCTTGGCGAGCGTCGTTCGTTCCATCGTATTGCACTCTGGCGTTCTCGTCTTGGTCGCTCGTTAGGGTCTTTTTTTAAAATAGAGGGAATGAGGGATAGAAAAGAAACGGGATAGTATCGTTTTTAATCGGGAACAGGGAACAGATAAAGCAGAACGAGGGAGGATAGGAATGCGACGAGAAGCATCGCGGATAGTACGCGATCCTGAATCGTATGGGATGAACCTGGAGCCGATTCTTCACGAACGTTTGTTCTTTCGTCGCGGAGAGGGAGTAGAACGGAAACGAGACGCGCCAGAGCCTCCAGCCCGTACGCATCCATGTAACCCACGTCCATGATTGCGTCCGCGTCCATTAACACCTCCTGCAACACCAACAACGATACTACTCAGTCCCAGTCTCTCTCTCTCTTTTTCTCGCACTCTTTCTCTCTCTCTCTCTGTATCTACCACTGTCGCTTCAATTAAATTTCTTTATTTTTGACGCAAAATCCTATCCTCTTAACCCGTATTCCCTTCTCCTGCAAAGCGACACGCCTGCCTTGAGATCCGAACTTCTCGTGGAAGCTTTGTTAAGTGTAAATGAACGTTACGAAGATTCGATGTCTGTGCTTCAACGAGAAAGACTTGGGATAACGTTTCAGTAATTCTACGGATAACAAGGCCAATTATGTCTTTCGTCTATACGAAAAGATTCATAGATTCATGGATGTCATCAGCTCATATAAAACAATGAAGACACTCGGACGAAACGCGTTTAGAGCGCTTTCTAACGAAGCAACCAACGACACAAAAGCTGAATAGACTAGACGAGACTAGGCGCATGCAAAAGCTCCCTTTTTGGTTCCTCTTTCCTTCGTATTCTCTCTTTAAAAACGGACGTATCGCACACCCACGCGACTGTATAAAAATCGGGGACTGACTAGTAAGTTGTTGGAAATGCCATGGACAAACGTACCAGCTTGACCAAGCGACGTTCGATCGATGATAACGCACGCACGTCTACAATTCTTCAATTTTTGCGTTCGAATCGTTTCGAGATTTCCTTCTCGTTCGCAGGAACAATCGTCACGTGAAAAATGTGTATTGAGAAATAAAAGAAGAGGGGAACAAAAGATGATTTTTTTCCGCATGTGGAAACATGCGGTACCAAAGCACGGCAAACGAAAAACGTTTCATTGTATTAATTAAATAAAATTATATCTGGCTTACCTCATCGACGCCGATCTTTCGACATGCTTCGAGGAAGTTGTCGACATTACGCCTGCACCTTGCCATCGTCAGCTTCGGCTGGGGATCGTGATCAAACTGTTACATTTTTTTTGTGTCAAAAAAAAAATGCGGTATTTTCTCGCTTAAATCAGAGTATGATAGCTTACCACAGCTGGCGAAGGAACATGAATGCTGGCAACAGACCGAGGTCTGACATGGTTTGCCAAGTGACAGAGCACGACGCCGTCCGTAAGTGCCGGGGCGAGGTCTTCCGGAAGGGCCATCTTTAACCGTGTTTCGATGTGCTAAAACGAAAGTTGAAGTTCAATCATTTCTCGATTGGTGTTTTCAATTATTTCACAATACACAAGTTACTTGAGCTACTTAATAGGTAAAAATACAAGATTGTGCTAATTTACTTTTAGATTAAACAAGAAGTTTACGAAAAACAAAATAATTTTTGTAAATAATAAAAGAAGAAGTAATTGATGTTACTCACATTTCGAAGTTGTTCGATCAGATCAGCTTCTTCCTTCGCGCGTTCGAATTCTCTTCTCATGGTGAACGAATATTTCTCTGGCACGTTCGTGTTCCAAGTAACCGATCGAGATGATTTTGGACTTCCGCCATTCCTGCTGGGACTTTTGTTACCTTAACGAATATAGACAATCAATTGAATGAACTTAATCTGTTACCGAAAAATAATGAATTTTCTTTCAATACAACATATATACGTATATACCTTCCACGTAACCGACAGCAGTTTTAACCAGTCTGGGCGTGTGACTGGGGCTAGTACTGGAAGATAGGATACTCGAAGAAGTTTTGATTGGTGAGTTAGGCTTCTTATACGGTTGCTCAAGATATTTCCCGTTTTTATTGTTATATTCGTTGTTACTGCCATTTATGATAGCCGCATTCTGATAGTTAATGCGGGATGGAGTCACCTTCTGTACTGGTCTCTTGGTCGCATTCTCCTCGTTGAATATTTGTTTACCGGTCATCGTAACACCATCTTTGTTCCCGGTTAAGTCTGTCTCGTTGTTCTGTACGACCTGTGAATCGTTACCAGGAGGTGTGACTTGCTCCCGTGGCCTGTACACGCTCGGGCCCTCATTCGCCCTTTGTTGTCTCAACGCCTCTTTGTACTCTCTGAAAGTTAAAAAAGTTTCATAATACGCCTAACTAGCTTTGATTATTATACGTCATAACCGGCAAGATACAACAATAACAAACATTTACCTGTAAGTTTGTATATGATTGAGAGGCCTTTTCTCGTCCCCATTCATTAGGGTGGTAGCGTTCGCATTAGATGTTTGCAACGGCTGTACCGATTGCGTGTTCGTCGAGGGCGTCGACGTAACTTGATTCATTGTCAGATGAGTGGATTCGAGGGGTCTGTAAACGAGTCGACGAAGGACATACGATGGTTATAAAGCAAGCTCGTTTATTAACCGGTAAAAATCACCGGTCAACGGTGATTAGTTTATTAACAGCTCGCTTACCCAGGCGGCGTGATCGATGCGTGATAGAGGCCAGAGGTCATAGGTCTTCTGATGTCCGCGCCGTTCTCCGAGGTACTCCTTTCCAATTTTCTCTTTTCCAATTGATCGTGCAGTATCATCGCCTGTGAACATAGTTTCTTGAAGAAAAAGACAGAGGGTCAAAGGTGAGGAAGCGCGCGGTCTTGGTGTGACCGATTTCGGATGCCGCGCGCGTTAATCGAGCTTCCTAGCGAGTTCTTTCTCAATGGGTTAAGGTCATTCAACGCGGCTTTGAACGACAGCCAAACGCGCCTCGACAACATACATATCATTTTCAAGGGACGCCGCGAGTTTCTATTCACTCTCGGCTAAATATAACCGTGGTATCATACGCGACTTCAAGTTAGAGTACAGCAATGCCTGCTTAATGCACATGTTTCTAATCCGTTTAGTGTGCACTTCTTGATTTTGAAAATGACATCATAGACGAGGTGATTTATAAAACATTTTTTATCTGTCACCTCTAATAATTTTAGTATTGCAAAGAACATTATTTCAACAATTTTTTCAAAGTACTATAGTAATCTTCTCCGATGATGTATACATGATGTAAGGTCAAGAAATAGTATGACGTTGATCGCAAAAGCGAAGATTATAAAAAATCATTTGACTAATCAGATCGAGATAGATGCTAGGATTCGCAACCTACCTTGCCGAGCTCATCCTCGAGGGACGTGTGCTCGCCGGGTGAGATGGTACTAGGAGTTGACGTCCCGCTGCACGAACCGTTCACGCCCGTCTCGTGAGGAAGCGTGATAGAAAGGGGTGAACACTCTTGACGCCAAAGTCCTCGAATCTCACCATCGTGCACCTGCGCGTAAAAAGGTGTCCACCAGGAGGTACTACGAGAAACCGTCGACAACCATGTGCGGTGCGTGCTTTGCGTGCGTTTTCAGACAGTTTATTCGCTTTTGTTCTCTTTCTACATATTCGTATCACAGTCAAAAGTAATCGTACTTTAGGATAGACAGAGGAAGGAAAGATTCCAACAGGAAAATTTCTACGATGGACCGAAGTATGCAGTGGTAGTGTCGTAGATACTTCACCCAGGAAAAAATTTACATAGTCTCGTAATTGAAAAGAAACCAGTTATAGTAGAGCCAGGAGAATACGAAGCGAAGAGCGAGGGAGAGGACGAGAAGTGGGATGAGGAAACTAACCGCGCTGTGTATTTCTTGCGACCAGCGTTTGTCGACGCCGTCACTGGTGCTGTAACCGCTGTCGACGTTGTGCCGTCTGTGCGCCCTCGTGTCCAAGGTCGCATGACCCCTCACGTCCAGGGGTGTTCTCCTAGCTCGAACCCCTCTCGCTCTCTCGTGTTTCGCCGCCTGTCTCTCCAGATATTTGAAGATGTGCGTTCGCCCGCGAATGCATAACTGCGAATACGTAACGCGACGCGTCGAGTAAATTCTAATCAAGCGATTGAAACCGTTGGTATAAGCATAGAGATAAGGTAGTGACTTCGGGACATAAGTTTACGATTCTGTTCCTATTAGAAGAAGTTGACTAATTATAAATTTGTTAATGGGAAATAAGACAGAATCTTAAATTTTGTATGAAATAATTTTTTATATTTAATATGCTTACCGAGGCAGGTGGCGAAGTTAAAGGGTTATCTGAGAGTCGAAAGTCGACCAGACTCTTCATCTTCCTCATCTCGTTCGGAAGCACAGATATTCGGTTCCCGCTTATATCCAGCTTCACAAGTCTCAGGTACGTCAGTTCTATACAGTGTACATGTTATAAATAACAATCATTTTCATATTATACTTATTTCTCAATTTATAGCAGTTACATGATATTTATAATGCGTTGTGTTGTATGCTTGCTTGTTTGGTACATTTATCTTAACCGCGGCAAAACTTGAGTGAGTGAACAGCCATGTCGGGGTCTGCACGACTGCGCGATCACGTACCTATAGGCAGGTGCACGATCATGTTGCTCCTCAAGTCCAAGGACCGAAGTCGCGCGAGGTCACCCATTCTTGGCGGCAGGTTCGCAATCTCGTTGCATCCAGCATCGAGCTCAGCCAACGCCGACATCCTGCCTAATTCGTCAGGCAACGATGCCAATCTGTTGTGAGCGACCAGCAACGTTTGCAGCGGCAGTCTGCATATCTCCCGAGGTAGAGACGTCAATTGGTTCCGACTGCGAATGAAAAGTCGTCCATCGTTTTAATTAAGCGCCCGCATACCCCGGCAATTTCCTGGTTCGTGATCACACCGACCTAAGATCGAGGTAGTTGAGCGACTGCAGCATCGCCACAGTTTCCGGTATTATTCTTATGGCATTGTGGTAGAGATACAACTTTTCGAGGAACAGAAACTCCGTCACCTCTTCCGGCAAATCGGTGAAACGGTTCTTCGAGAGGTCTGTAACAGGAATTGAACACGCGAACATTATTATAATTTCTAGTCATTCTTCATCTGAATTCGTTAAAAAAGATATTACATCAAACTGCGTCATACAAAAATATGTTATATAAAAATAATGTTTTGCTAAAAAGTTATACACAAAATTACGAAACTGTAGATGAAAATAGAATTCCTGTGAAAATAGAAACACAACGAGAAGCATTTGGGACAATTTGTAAGTTTTAGTTACAATGTCTGTTGAAACATAAAAAAATAAGGCGCATGTATCTTCTAGAGGAGCTTTGGCTGATTAATTTGGGAAACACCGTCAGGATTCCCCGTAGCAACAGCTGTGCTCCGTTTAGGGTGCTGCTTGCGTTGTGGGGTTCTTATGAATGGGGTGCGACGGTCACGTGCGTGTACGTACAGTCTCGAAACGTAGGAAAAGGATAAGGGTGGCTCAGCTGCTGCCTCCTTTCTGATCAATAACCACACCGCGCTGTGTGCGTTCTCGTCCTACGGGAGTTGGTCCCGTCGCGTCGCGTCGTTTCCCTGTTGTGCCAAAACTTTCCTCCAACTTCCCGGTTCGATAGACACAGCTACCGTAGGACGGCGCTTTGTCTAGCGAAACTCGCGAAAAACTCGAAAATTAATCGCGCAACCCTTTCAGATGGATGAACCAACGTTTCTGATGTGCATACAAAAATAAATACATAATGAAAAGACTTGATTCCGATAAGAAGAAAGAGGCTTTACCATCTAATAGAATAAAGCAACAGAAATCCTGCACTTAATAGGAGTTTAATTCGCGGAAATCTTGCCCCGCTTTCACGGAAATTGGATTACGAGCAGCCAATTTACACGATCGGAACGGAAATTGCCAATGGAGCCGGATACCCGGCTTTTCCGAAAATACACTTATAACACGTCATTCGATCTCGACACTTTATTAGAATTCTGACTGTACGAAGACTTTACGAACATTATACGCACACGAGCTCGAGTCCAGGGTTCCGTTTCCCTCGTGTACGCCTACGCTCATCGTAATGGGAATGCTGTCCATGGGGTGGAAAGCAAAGCGTGGAACCATTGGTATACGGTCGATCGCATAATCGAGCAAGGGCGTCGGCCCGTTCGTGATGGGAACAATAAAAATAGCAACCCCCTGTTTCTGCTTGCTGCATGTAACCAGTAAAATTAAACAATTTTCTATACGCGCCTGACGTTCAGCTAACAATAAGTATCTACTCAATGAGAGTTTCAATGAAGATAACAAAAATAACGATCCATTCTATTTCTGCACAAAGACAATAAAAATAGTAATTTATTCTGTATTTGTACAGTTGCTATAAAGATAATAATCCGTATTTTATTTTCGTATTATAGACTGAGTATTTATTTTGCACTGTCGTAAATTATACGTTCTTATTTCCTAAATTTTTGTACTTTAAAATAAAATGATGATATTCAATTTCGAATGAAATCCAGTCCCACGTAATATCCGGCTTCCTGGAGAGAGGAATCGATCACATCTGACGCTCGACAAGACATCTGGCCTTAGATGAGCCTTGGAAGGACTCCGTGCGCCACGCGAGAGATTTATTATCGAAATTTCCGGTGGCGACGGTGAACACGGTCCGCCGCACGCATTGCCAATGAAAATCGTAACTGAGCTCGTGATTGTTGTGCGTACAAGGTGGTTCGACAAAGGGTCGATGCACTGGACAATAACTCCGAGGACCAAGGTCGAGGTCCAGCCGACCAGCGAGGATCGATACCATATTACGTAGATTTGCGTGACGTCGCGCCGTTGCGAGTACCATTCGCAAATGCATGGGCGTGGCCCATGTAGAGCTCTTTTGTTAAAAGCAAAGTAAAAAGTTACCATATAGGCATAGATATAATGATATCACCTAATCCGTGTCAAGATCGGTCTAACATTTATTAGATTGGTGCAAATTAAATATATAGTTTCTGCAGAATATCGTATATTTCTTTCGAATAATTTATCAATTACTTTTACATTGAATGTACACGATTTCGTTATCCTAAATGCATTAAGAATTTCATTATAATAATCGAAGATTTATTGTCAAAAATAAGAAGCAGTGAGATATAGAATATGATTTAAGTATAAGTGTAGGTAAATCCTTAAGTATAAATTTAAAAAAGACCAGTTGCTATTATCATACTAATTAAAGGGCTAGAGTAGTCACGTAACTTTCCTAATATTTGTCGGTAAATTTTTTACATTCTTTTGCTCTGTTTTGTTGATAATCAGGCGAACATAGTACAAAATGTGGATTTACAGAACTACACTTTTCGTCTTTATATGAAAAGATTTTTTGATTGCCAAATTTCTGTTCGAAAAGACAAAAATTAAATAAAATTCTCACCGAATTATTTCATTCTTAATTTGTTTCATAATAGTAAATGATGAAACAAAAATATGATGAACGATTTTCAAAATTTCAAACTTCAGAAACAACGACATTTCATACGCGCTAGCTTAACAATAATGAATACGACGGTGGAATATTAATGTTTGCATTTTTATCGCGGTCTCTGCTCACTTATGCATAATACAAGCTGAAGACAATCACACCGGAAAGATGGTTTGCGTGGTCATAAAAAGGGTTGGTCGTATAACAACAGCAGGAAGCGTCCGCCTAGTAATCTCCATGATAATCCACGTGCCAACCTGCGATTCAAGATATTAAACAAATCCTCAATTTTTTTGTTAGATTCGAACATTCAACCCTCCCTTGCCCCTTACATATGTGACAACGTACTTTAAATTACCAACGACAACTACGAGTTTGGGCGTGTCACGAGTCCGGAGTAGGTACTAAAAGGGAAGAGTCGACGATTAAACATAAATTCGTGGGCTAAGTAAAAAATAGTGAAAAGATATTTCCTATTTTTTAAGCACCACTAGGACAATTTTTCCAGCAAGAGCGACTGAACACGACGCGGTGTTAATATGGCCAACGCGCAAGGGTGGCCAATAGTGTTTACGTCGCATCGATAGGACGAAAGGCAGGAGAAAATATTGTAACGACGTTAACTTATCCTTCTCGGGTTATATGGGGTTATAAGAGCTCGAATAAGAGCTGCCGTGAAACCGTGGAAACAGAGGGTCGCCCGATCGATAACGCCCCCATGGCAAATATCGTCCATGGGGTTGGAGAAAGCGCAAGGTGTCCCGTGAACACAGTGGCGCGGCAACCCTCTTGGCAAGCTCTTTCCTTTTGGAAAATAAAATCATGGCGAATGCCTCGCGGAACTAATGGTCGGTAACGGTGTTAGATCCTCGCTAACGAGCCAATGCAGAATGAGGGGTTCGGAAACGAGTCAGTTCCACTTCAGATACGATATTAAACTCATTAACGCGATCAACTCTAGAAGCTTGATTGGGGCACTATATTTCCCTAATTCACGGTTCGATTGGATATCTCATTATTTATCAAAACAGATAAGAAGAAAGTATAATAATTTATGATATAGCTGGAGTTATGACATAGCTGTCTCTGGAGTTTTCTACTTCATTGCAACGAATCTTTACGAATGCAGAGTGCATCCAGTCGATCGATACGAGGGAACGGTTGCACGAGGTAATTGACTTTCCTCACGATTTCCGACGCGCCTAGAAAATCGGTAGAAAGGAATTGCGGAGAAAAAAAATTCTAGTGGCGGAATCGTGCGTGGAATGAAGACGCTTTGTCCTTGAATCGTTGGCTATTGCCGTGTCATTGCGATCGCGTCAGAAAGAGAAAATCGTCGAGACGGAACGGGAGGTCGGATGAAGGGAAGAGAAACGATGGAGGGAAAGAGACGAGAAGAAAAGCGGGAGCAAGAGCGAAGAACTGTCTACTCTACACCACTGTCTTTTATAAAAGACCGCCAGTACTTCCGGCGAAGACGCGAGTGTAAACGCAACTCGCATACTCGATCGGACTTGGCCAGCACTGTAGGCAACTTCGAACGCGAGTCCATAATCCGAGATCGAGCGATCATCCGGAATGGTTTTAATCACGTTCTTCAATATCGGCGTCACATATACGTGACGCACCGATTCTACCTGAAAGTTTTGCGTCACGCAACTTAGACTCAAGATTACACACGAATGTTGAAATTTTAATATGTCACGTACACCTGGACGCCATGGGAATTTGTTATATAATCATTTTTATCTGAAATTAACACGTATACGTATGATTCACTGAGTATCATAGCTTATCAGTTTTATTTGTGATTCACTTTGAAAGTAAACCAACGTAGCATTATCAGAAAGCAATTAACGCTCAGATCCGTAAGTTGGCAACTTCGTATAGGTAGTGCGTAAGGATCATGGTCAATTTGTCATTTTAGCATGCAGGATTTTTAGAGAAAAACAACGCACTCATGTGGCATGGCATTGATTCCATGCATACGTTTCGAGTTTAACGTGTACAGTATGAGCGCTTACATGCAGGAAGGCGTGCACGCGTATCGGCACGCTTGAACACGCAGCCAGAGCCAGGCACAATGCGACGCACTGTTCGCCACGCATTGCCTGCCATGGTCAGACGGAGTATGGAAACCGGCTGCGTGATACGCATGTAACATGTATCGCATTATTTATTTTTCCTTATCCCTTAACAGAGTTTTTCCCCACTCGAGTTTTAATTTAAAAATTATTAAACGTCTGGCCAAATCTGACTGATCGCTGTGCAATAAGTACGAAACTGACTCAAAATCTGAGAAAACTTTTAGACGTTGTGCATCATAGGCACTGAAAACTGAAAGATTTAAGAACACTTCACAATTCTCAAATTCTTAATTAAAAACCTTCTTCTACTCTGATAAAAGAACATTTAATAGGTTGTTGCGCTCTTTCAGGGATAGCAAACTTGCTTCGTCCATCAAAATGGGAGTTTGCGCACCCTTTTCTTCAGTTAGAGTCAAGGTTCTCAACGTCTGGGTCATGACCCCCGAGAAGGTCGCAAGACTCGAACAGCGGGAAATCATTATGATTG